ATATATATATATATATATTTGCCTCTCAATCAAGTTTAATAGTTCTTGCCCATTTCTTGATACATGTACTACTGCATATTTAGATTTCTTTGTAGCTACCGTTAATGAGCTACAAAACATTCTCCTCATCCTTTTCTGATAATACCCATCATACTTCTTAGCGGTTTTTACTGACATATAAAATGCTAGAGTTATATTACTGGCCATCATGCTGAACTCTCACTACAGATCAGAGCTTTTACTTGATCCTCTTGGTTTTTTTTAGATAAAACAACCCTGCCCCAAAGTGCATATCAGTTGCAAATAATGATAATGCCCCCTTCCCTTCTCCAGTCCTCACGGTTGCATTGGTGGCTCTTCTAGAATAAGCTTGATTTCGAAGGGAGGTCTGCAGAATTTGCCACTAAGTAGAAAACTGGAACAATGACTGAATTGTATCAAATGCCATTTTAGCTTCTTAAAAAACAATAATCTCTTTCTTTCGGTCCTTGACCTAGCAATCTGTGAATGTTCAAATGCCCTACTCCTCACCCCACCTTGCATTCCTAGAAGGAACACCCCAGAGGCATTATGCAAACTTGTGTTATGGATGCATTCTATTTGGAGCTATACTTTGAGCGCTTTCCATTTAACCTGCCCCATCCCAACAGACTCTTTTTCTAAGAAAGGCTGTCCTGTGCACAGTGAGATCATAGTTTATACCATAATAAGATGCTCCTCACCAAAAGTGACCAAACCAGGAGTGGATGGACCCCTGACCTCAGCAACCAAGCAAGAGGCCAGACGGTCACACATGACATTTAGCTGGACCAAACTGCCAGGTTTTATGTAGGTGTGTTTCTTTTGTTAATTGAATGCATTTTCGTTAAGGGAATATGAGAAATCCTTGTAATCTGCATAATCAACTCTTTTTAAGTTTCAGAATGCATTCTTCAATTATATGTTAGAAACCAGAACAAGTAGAATAAAAGCAATGGCTTTTCTTCTTAAGTTAGAGTTAAATTTTCTGCCTTCTGTTTCCATCCTCTCTCACACCTCTTTGGGGCAAATGGAAAATTCCCTCTGCCTGTAGCAACAGTTGACTTCTTGTCTGGTTTCTCATGATACTGTGAGTTTTCTTCCCTTTGTGTGTGTTTGCACAGACTCTATAGTTGGAAGCTGGGAGAAGTTGCATCAAGGACTGTTAGAAAGGCAGCCTTGTAAATAGGAAACTCTTTTTCTAGAACTATCTGCTAAGGAAAATCTTGTCCTTGTCCAAACGTGCAACACAACGCACCTTGGATATCTTCAGAGATGTGTCTCGAGCCCTTTGTGCATCTGTGGATTTACGACTGCCTTTGAAATGTAAACACTGTGCGTGTCCAGCTCGTACAATTCCGAAAAGGGTCTCAGTATCATAATAAATTATTATGTGTCATTATTTCTGGCAGCTGTCTTCTAAAATTTACTTGGTTTGTATCCAGAAGTTCCACGTTACAGATCAATTTCCTTGGCTATTTGGGGGATGTAGTTTGCATATAATTCTTCTGTTGTGTCCCATGGAAAATATGTTGCTGGTGGAAATAAACTATTAAAAGCCCCAAATCAAATATCTTCAAGTTATCTTTGATTGACTCTAAAGCTAAAACAGAAGCCGCACATTTTGTTTTGCTTTGTTTTCAGCAGAAAGCTGGAAAGAAACTTCAAGAAACTGTTGAAACAATGGTTTTTGACCAAGAAAAACCACAGAATTGATTCTTAAACTTTGGCTGATGGATCAGGAAGAAGATTAAGAAATGTTTACATACCCATGACCACAAGATGTTAGTGAGGTTTTTATGTATTCTGTATCATACGTCCATAACATTAGATTTCTTCCTAAGTCTATCTTCTAAGAACAACCAGCTTTCCTATATCGAGAGGTCTGTTTTACTACTTGCAAGACTTGATTTGTAAGAAGCATGAATGTGTATTAGGAAACTACGTTGTTGGCATATTTGCCGTGGAAACCAGTGATCAGTGAAAGCTGTAAACTGTTACACCAACCTTGAGAAGTTTCACCCACTATAATATCACTAATTAGGTCCAATTCACTTAACCAGCACAAAAGACAAAACGGACTTACTTAAAACTAGTCGGTTAGTGAAATTACAGAAAGATATTTCCTTGCAAAGTTATTGTGTAGTTCTACGTAAAAGGACTTTTCAAGTAAAATGAAAAGAGATTAATTTCAAAGCCCAGTGCAGAGTCTCAATTTTCCTCAACAGTTTGATGTCAAATATTCCATTTGTGCATTAATGAAACTTTCTAAGTGGGAGGAAGCTCACTGTGAAAAGGTCCAGGTTTAAAAAGCTTCTGTCACACCTGCATTCATCTATTCATCCACACGGGCACTGTCCTTGGTCCTGGAAGCATAAACATGCAGAGGACTATCTCTCAGAAATTATCATCTAGTGTACTGTGGCTGACAATAAATAAAACAAACAGGTAAACAATGTAGTGAATGAGGTGATAAATGCCACGGGGAAAAATAAAGTAGGGAAGGGGAAGAGAAGGTCCCTATAAGAAACATCCCTCTTAAACCTCCTATTATTGTATTTTCCAAAAGGACTCTGGTGAGAACATTTTGTGCCATACATCACTTGGTGCCTCCTTTATAAAGTCCTGCCCAGGAAAATTCGCTCATTTAAGTGCCAGTAAAAGTTATGCTAGTGGTGAGAGCTGATGTTTTGTCCTCGTGAACAACACGGACCATGTGACTGCCCAGGTTTCCTCCTTTTTGATTTGGCTGTAGTATGCTCTGTCTACGGCAAGTTCACCTTGAACA